AGAGAGAGAGAGAGAGAGAGAGAGAGAGAAGAGATAACAAAGGGTCCCCTTCACGTCAATTCGAGGGGCCCTGCAGGTACCTCGAATGACTCCTACGTCACATGTGGAGTCATCGAGGGCTGCTGCTTCAATTAGGAGGATGGTCTCCTCATCTGTGGAAGAGGTGGGGCAGACCACCAATATATGCTCTGGATTCGAGTTCAAGGCTGTAGCTCAGCAGTTATGGGTCACCAATTCAGCTAGAGCCTGTTCGTGTCTCCACGTATCAGTAGAATGAATCTTCTGCTAAAACATGGAACCATACACCGCCATACGCTATGTCTTTTGTGCATGTGGTGAGTGGTGGAGCAGGCCCCACTGTACGTATTCGTAAGAAAACTAAAACAAAAAAACTAGAGCTCCCTCCACCACTCACCAAATGTATATAATATTAGTAAAATGAATCTTCTGCTAAAACATGGGACCATACACTGCCATATGCCATTTCTTTTGTGCATGTGGTGAGCAGTGGAGCAGTCCCCACTGCACGCATTCATAAGAAAACAGAAACAAAAAACGGAGAGAGCTACAGGCATCTTCATCCTAACCCATAACTGCCGACATGCAGACCTGAATGCCAATCTTCAGCATATATTGGTGGTCGGCTAGCCGTGGAAATGCAAGTTGTGACTTCTGCGAAATTCGCGGGGCAGGTCGTTACTAGGCGACTACCCCCTTCTTGCGAACTTACCTCACCACTGCGTGGGATTTGCAGAAGGGAGGGGGAAGGCCAGTTCCGTACCCCGTCTAAGGAAAAAGTTGGAATGAGCCCTATTTTATGCTTTGCCATTTTGAAACTTCTGGGGGTAGGGCCTGCGGAAATTGAAATTTGGCAGCCCTTGCCCAAAAAAAAAGTTTGCGCCGGGGGCGCGGCTGGTTTGCGAGCTTGCGCAGTGCGTCTAACATTTTTGCCGAGTTGGGGACCCTAAGGAATGACAAAACCCCTACTTTTTTTTTTTTTTTTTTGGACCTAATTTTTACAGTGTGG